TCTCTCTCTCTCTCTCTCTCTCTCTCTCTCTCTCTCTCTCTCTCTCTCTCTCTCTCTCTCTCTCTCTCTCTCTCATATGCTCATCCCCTCTATCTCTCTTTCTTTAATGCAATTAAACACATTTTCTCTCCCTCTCTCTCAGATTTTCGACTCCATTGTCGCCCTCCCTCTAGGTTGTCTATGCTTTCTTGTAAGCTAGAACATTTTAAGTGTGCTTCTCTCTTTCCCATATCCTCTTGGTGTCAATGCTTATTGTGCACTTGTACTGCTAGATCACCAAAAGCTTCAGAGCCAAAGAGGAGATTTCTCTCTTTTTTATTTTCCAAGGACTCGGATCTCATCCTCTTTTGGGGGAGGGCGGGGGGGGGGGTTTTCTTTGTTTTTGGTCCCCAAAAAAGAGAAAAGATAGAGGAAATTTCACTCACTAGCCCTATCACTTATTCCCTCTCCCACAGGAAAATATGCCACGACTTCGCCCAAGGGTGCTTAAAGTTGATGTCTCAATTGATGGAAGTCATTTCTCTCAGCTTGGGTTTCCCATCTCATTGATTGCACCCTTTTTTGGAAGAGAGCTTAAGCTATGTTCGCACTAATCACTACTCATCGTGCAATAACCCAGACTTGGTTTTAGGCAAAGGAGCTCACAGAGATCCAAGTGCATTCACCCTTTTAACCACTGATGAGGTCGTTGGATTGGAGGCTCAACGAAAATCGGACGGTCAGTGGCTAAGGCTCAGGCCCATACCCAACTCTTGCATTATTGTTGCCGGTGACGTGCTTCAGGTATGGATGCAGTTTCTATAAGGCCTTCAGGGAAAGCCTCACCAACTTTGCACAATGGAAATTTCTATGATTACTGTAAACCAAGCTCCACTACCGATTATGAAAATTGTAGCTCAAAAATAGTGCAGATCTTACAGATTTATGAGCACTTACAAATTGATGGTTTAGACTTTGTATTAACTATTTTTAGGGTTTGAAATAAATTTTTTTTCATGGCCATAATGGTCAAGGTGGAGATGATTGACTTGAAGCTTGTCTGATGCTAGAAACTTTCCATGAGTTTTGAGGTGCAGGTTTTTGCTTACCATGCTTTTAAAGGAGCATATCCTATACACTTTGTCTGCTTGGTAGGACTTTTTTTTTTTTTGTATAATATGAAGTTTTCAGAACCATCTAATAATTACTAGATAATTGTTTCAAAAGAAAAAAGATATTAATTTCGAGTTCTCTAACAACTTGATTTCACCTTCAAAAAATTGGATAGTTTATATTTCATTGTCAAACATTACTTTTTTCAATGCCACCAATAGTGGTATTTGGATTTTTTTTTATTTTTTTATTTTTTTAATTGAGGTTAACCTAAGAGACTTACATCCCCAAATTTGGATTTGTACTAGTAGTGCTTTTAGATTGAGTTTAACTCGAGAGAGTAAATAAACAATATACTCCCACTGGAGCATGAAATCTTTTGGCAACGACATATCATTTTGTCATAGAGAGATGTCAAGATGTTGAGAGAGAGAGAGAGAGAGGGGTCAAAGCGAAGACGATACAGGTCTAGGGAGAGAGAGAAGAAAAACTAGACGATAGGGTCTATAAAGGAGACGTAGTATGCTTATTTATTTTCCTTTACATCTCTTTGTGGGAGTGATAATGTTTTATGACCTTCGCAGGTATTGAGCAACGACCTTTATGATAGCTTAGTCCACTGAGTTGTGGTGAACTCTCAAGTCGAGAGGTTCTCAGCCATCCTTGGGGTTGTGCCTTCCTAGAATGCCATTGTGAAACCATTAGATGAGCTGGTTGATGAAGACAAAAATCCTGCACATTATGGTGAATACAAATGGGATGAATACTTTGTCTCAAGGAGGACCAGCAATTTCATAAAGTTGGACAAGCCTGTGATTGAGGTTGCAGACTTCAAAAATCCAAATAAGCTACTCTCATTGTGACAAATTTGCAATGCTTTGTGCCCTTGCTTGCTCTTGCTTTCCTTTCTGTCTTTCCTACTACTAAGCTCTATCTCTAATGTTTGTTCGAATAAGTGGCTTTTGTTCCACAAACTACGTACCTGATAACGCCCAGCTATTATTCAAGTCTTATGTAGTATGGTTTGTGTCATCATATTGCATTAAGGTTGATATGTTTGCTCTACTTATAATCTCCTTATCGTTTCATCTTCTGGTTATACACAGGCATCTCTCTCTCACGTACACAAGATGCATCTCTCTCCTCGCTGTTATATAGGGCTGCAATGGTTGAGATTGAACCACATACATCCAATGGCTCAAAAAGAGTTTCACATTTTATTTTTTATTTTTGTTTATAAATGATACTTGTCGAGAATTTAGATATGAATTTATTTCTATACGGAGCACCTAATTAAAAAAATGAAAAATATTTTAAACAAAAAATGACCAAAATTACACTCTAAAATAATTTAAGGGTGTTTTAAACACTTAGCACATAGAAATACATCAATAAATAAAATTTTAAATAAATATTATTCTTAAATAAAAATAAATTATGGAATACGAAACTCTGTTATGCCCATTGGATGTGGCTATGTTTAATCTAAACCATTGGCCATGCACATTATGTGGAGGGGAGGCTTTCTCGTATATCCAATGTGTTGCAAGATGCACTAATTGCAGTATTTTCAAAAAACATTTAACATCCTTGCACATTCAGATTAAAACAATGATTTTATTGTTTGAAAACAACCTTCTTGATTGAATTATTAAATGAAGTTTTTTCCAATAAATGAAAAGAGTGTACATTTAAAAATTCATGTCAAACAAATGTCTTTAACATGGTTTTTGCATATGATTGTATTATACTACTATACAACCGTTGCATGAAATCATTCACATATACTTCTGCTAGATCATACAAGTCCTTTCACACCCTTCCACCATTTACATTACGCGAGATACACTACTTCTAGTATTTTCAAAAGTTTTTCTATCCATGTACATGGAGGAGGTTAAGATAATGATTTTCTAGTATGAAAACAATCTTCTCGACTGAAAGTTTTGATGAAGTTTTTCCTTATAAATGGACTTGAAAATCATAATATTTTTTTAGTGGGTAATTCAATGAGGATGACGAGCTCTTACTCATTTTTTAAATTGTTAGAAATTTTTGAATGCGTGAGGTGAAAATAGAAACCTAAACTCTTAACAGGGACGGTCCTACCACCTAGACCCAAAACCATTCTTAAAACAATTTTTAATCACACTCAACTCACTCATGCATGCTGCGCATTGATCACACCCGTGCTGCTCTGCGCGTCTAGCTCATATGGAGGTCGCAATCTTTTTTTGGCGTTAGTGTATATCACCTTGTGGGAGCACGCAATTCCACGGGACAAGATTTTTTGAAACTTGAAATGAATATGAACCCATCTCTTCTCACTAATTAATTATTTACAGTGCACTTCAATCAGTTGGCATACTGATCCATCCCTGTAGAGGCATGGTGCATCTTCAAATTTTATCATTGTTTATAACTTTGATGTAAAATGTTTTTAGGTTTATTTTAATATTTATTTTTATATTTAATTATAAAATTCTAAAATTTAAAAATAGTTAAAATGAAAAGATCTATAATCATATGAAAATCTTAAAAATGAATAGTGTATATAATATGTTGTAAAAGGTACTATTTATGAGATTTAAAATCTTTTTATTTTTCATGTTCATACATCTCGATGACGAGATGATCAATCAAATGGTTTTTCAACATTAAAACTACTTTTTTATTTGATTTTTCAACATTAAAAGTATCTTTTTTCGATAGATTTTTTAAATGCATCGGTAGTTCTATATTATTTGGTTGCATCCTTATATAAACGTTTTCTTAAATCAATTGAGAGAGTTTCCCACCTGTTGTTTTTTACATACTCATCACGTGCAATGTCTGAAAAATGAATAAATCATCATGTGGGAGCACGCAATCCCACGGGACAAGTATTTCTGAAACTCTAAATGAATATCTGTAATGAGCCAATCTCTTCTCACTAATTAACTATTTGCAGTGCACTGAAATCAATGGAGAGAGTGACCAACTTATTCTTTCTTCGTATACTAGTTGCATCACGTGCAACATCTGAAAAATGCGTAAGGCATTTTTTAATTTGAAAAATATTAAAATTAATTATGAATCTTGATAAATTTTAAATATCACATTATAAAATATAAATTTATTAAAAAAATTTGAAAAATACAAAGTTGAATTTCTATTTTGTTATAAAGACCAAACATTCTAAAAATTATAATAATAATAAAAATTGGTTATGAATAATTATTTATGTGTAATAATTCATAAAATTGTATTTAAAATTTTGAAATAATGATATACAAATTTTAAAAAAATTAAGATATTTTTTATCAAAATGTATTAATTTTAAAAGTAAAATTTTAACATGCAATTTTAAGATGCATCAAAACACCCAAATACAGTTTTGAATTATGTTTGTTGCACGTAAGAATGACATATGAAAATACATAAAACACTTCACTTAATAATATAAAAGATAATATTATTTTGCTGCACAACATAAAGCATCCACAAGCACCCCTCAGTTTATATTGAAAACCTAGTCTCTTCCAACAACCATTTTTAGTTTATTTAAAAATAATCTTTATCTAAAATTTGAGGTATAGATGTATTTTTATATAATATTTCAAAAAATTATTTGACTAGAACTACCTTAAATTTTTGGGCGAATTCTAGTTAAATTTTATTTCAAAATATTATTATATTATTTTTATTTAGTATGCAGTATTAAAATAAATATGCGACCTAAATTTTAGATTTAGACGCTTTTTAATAAAAATAAAAATAGTCATATTGTGGCCGTTGGATATTGCCTTGTACAAACTAAGCCATTGGCCACGTCATATGGACGGGATACCTTCCATTTTGTTTTGAGGGGTTTCTTTGCCTGTCTTAATCCTTTCCTCCACTTTTGGCGCCCCCATGCACGAATCGTTTCAACAAAATTTTGATGAAATTTCAGCAATGGCCGGAATTGTCGAACGAACCATCCAAAAAAGGTACTCGGGCGATGAGACAATATTTACTCTTCCATGCAAAATACCTATTTCGGAGGGATTTCTCATTTGAAAGTACAATCAAGACGGGGGAATATGGATGAACAAAAGTCTCAACTACCTTTTCTTTTAATCTCACTTGACTCTTCTTTGCAATAGTGGTCTTAGTCTCAAGCACCAATGCAAAAAGCGATCGGCCGAGGGCCTAGGAAGCCACCTTGGTGATGTAGGTCAACATGATATCCAAAACTCCAATATTACTACTTCCCATAAGTTTTAAATGGGAAACAAAGTCCAATGATAGTTAATTTCTAGAAGGGTGTGGTTTTTTTAAGGACGCAACCTTAAACAATTCAATTAAGGTGCACCTTCAAATTTTATTATAACATGTGATTTTGGTATAAAACAATCTTACGATTAATTAAAAATCTATTTTCATATTTAATTAAAAAAATTTTAAATCCAAAAATGGTTAAAATCAAGTAGATCTATAAACTGAAAAGGGATGCACTATTTCTGGGATTCAGAATCTTCTTTTTTCTTTTTTCTTTTTTTCACATTCAAACATCTCGATATCAAAATGATCAACTAAAGGGTTTTTCAACATTGAAACAACATTCTTTGATGGATTTTTGAGGTGCATCTGTAATTATATATTTTAAGGTTGCAACCTTATATAAATTTTTCTCTTTCTAGAATTGGGAGTTGGAATATACACTCCCAATATACTTAGGAACTTGTGGGATTTTTGGAAGGAAATTGAGTAGCTTTAAAGAGAATTGAAAATGTGAAAGCAACATGCATAAAGGGTTGGTGTGCCATTTTGAACTAGGATTATAAGCATTATTTTAAAAAAAAATACAGCAGTTTATTTGTAGCTTTTGGTAGAATTTAGCTCCCAGCCATTTTCTCTCTCTCCTTTCTCTCTTAGTGGTTGTTTTCTCTCACTAAGTATTGTACCTCCATATCTTAGTCGCATCATTTGGTATCAGAGCCTAAGTTCAAGGATGGGCAGGGTATTATATCCATTAGCACATCCTTTTCCATGGTGGTAAGAAGGGGAAACTACGGAATGAACAATACAAGAGATTAAGAATTAGAGGCACTTCATAGGCAAGTGGAGTAGTAAACGGTCAATGGCCCAGATGAATCAGGGCAGATCTAATGGTCACGGTTGCATTTCGTAATTAAATTTAAATTTTTTTTCAACAAACACGAATCACTTGAAATTTGGAGTGTCTAGTATAAATAAATAGGCGAATCTAATAAAACTGTCAAAGAAAAACAATTCAGACAAATCAAATGGACTAAAATACCCCTAAAATTTTCTTAGATATTTTGGTTAATTTATATTTTTGAATATTTTTAAATAGACGCACCTTTTATGGAATTGCAACATTTGTAATTTAACATTGTGTTGTGTAATATGTGATTTTGTGATTTAATTTCATTAGGTTTTTTATTAAATTTTCACATGCAAATTTCACACATATGTGACCCTTTTTACATGTGTAATGCCAAGTTTATTTGTGAAACATTTTGAATTAAAGAACCTTATCGATATGAGATATTTTGACATGTTTGAATCTCTCATGTGACTTGGTCCTATAGGCTTGAGCCATGTGAAGAATATTGGTCGTTAAAATTCCATTGGATGTGTCATAAAATATCATTTTCGCACATGTGGGTTTTTTCAATTACTAAAAAAAGACGCACCCTTGTGCATATAGTACTCTATTGATGTCATTAAAATGTAAGGGCGTTTATGAAATCTTTACAATGGACT